TTAGCAAAGGCATATAGTGCTTTTGCTAACCTGTTGTCTATCTCTCCATCAATCTTACCATCCGAGGAGATGAGGCTGCCTAGGTAATTAAACTGCTGGACTGATTTGAGCTCTGACTCGCCAATGGTGATGTGGGGATGATGGGGGACTTCCTGAGGTGCAGGTTGATGGAGAACCTCTGTCTTCTTCAAGTTGACTTCCAGTCCAAAGAGCTCATCAGCGTCTGCAAAGCAGGATGTTAAACGCTGCAGAGCTGCTTCTGTGTGGGCAACAAGGGCGGCGTCATCAGCATAAAGCAGCTCCTGGACAAGATGGTTTAAGGTCTTGGTGTGGACCTTCAGTCACCTTAGATTGAAAAGGCTTCCATCAGTACGGTATCGAATGTAGATACTGTCCTGATCATCAAGGTCTGCCGTGGCCCTTTGGAGCATCATGCTGAAAAAGATTGTGAATAGGGTAGGAGCGAGAACGCAGCCTTGTTTCACACCATTCTTAATTAAAAAGGGCTCAGAAAGTGTGTTGCCATATCTACAGCGTCACACTACCCTAATATTACACCAGCAGGTAGGTTCGTCTTCTTGTGGAAAACTTTAACCACTGAAATTGCAGGAGAGGAGGAGAAACAGAAGCCCAAGTGAAACAAGCTTAACCTGAATGTCTCAGCACCCGGCAGGGGACCAGATCGGTGAGGAATGTTGCCATATTTAACTCCTGCTGCTTGCTGGTATTTTCTCTTACAGGCACCACTGCAGGCAAGGCTTTTCTTCTCCTGTCTGCAGGAGAAGACAAAGTGGCTCATTGTAACAGACTTGTATTACATACTTTCACTTCCCTGCTGAAACGAAAGGATCCTCTAGCTCCTACTGCCTTTTAGCTAAGAGACGCGATCAGATCCAACCTCAGAGTAGAAGAGTTGTTACGCTGCACAAGAACCACAGCCCTTAAACAGAAGTTTTCCACTGGGTTTGTGGTAGGCACAGCTCCCATCCCTCTGAAACCTTCACCCTTGATCCAAGTACATGAAAACAAAAAAATGGCTGAAATATGATGCTCCCCTCCTCTGCAACATTTCTTTAGCTTGAATTAAGTCAGATAAAAATTTCAGTTACATGCATAGTTGTCCAGTCCCACTTTGACCTTTCTGTCAGGACAGCATTTCTTTCAGCCAAGATCCCCAAATAAAAGCAAGATTGAGGGGTGCACAGCAAAGGTGCCCTTTGGTCTAGTCTTGCTTGTTGTGCAACAGGACCCAGATATCCCAGTGTGCCAGATGAGCATTGGTCCATGCCCACAGGTCCGAGCCCTTGGTCCTCAGCATCCCCTTTTTGGCCTGCTTAGGATTCAGGAACATCTGCTGTTGCTGTATCTTCTGCCTTGACCAAATCACCACTGACTGTTTCAGCATGGAGCCGCTTGTAGTCCGTGTGGAAGAAGATGACGTAGCAACAAGCCATAGCAGTGCAGAGGCCAGCCAGCACCAGCACCGGAGCTGCAGGAAAGGTACACTTTTAGACAGTGAATCCACAACTGGCCGTGGCTGCAGAAGCCTAGAGGTCAGCTCCCAGAAACAGCACAGGGCTATCCCTGAGCACTGGGTGTAGACCACAGGGGGCAACACCACTCTGGTAACAGGCAAACCTTGCTTCACCTAACACTGGCATAGGAGGAGTATTTAGGAGGAATGTGGAAGGTTTCTAGGACTCCAAATCCTGTGTGACCCCACAGGTCAGAGTCCTTACAACAGTGCACACAGTGTGTTTGTGAGAGTGTGTGTTTCTGTGTAAATGTACATATTTGTGTGTTGTGGGGTGGTGAAAAATGTTACAAAAAAGACTGAATCGAAACACTTGAGTTTCATAAGAGAACAGGTCCTCAAAGGTAGTGCTTCTTGTTATATCATCTGAAAGCAGGTGTAGAAAAAGTTCACTAAACATAAACTTTTATCTAAGAAAAATTTGTGTCAAATGAAACTTTTCTGAAGAAAAAAAAAAAGTCAAATGAAACTTTTCTGAAGAAAAAAAAAAAGTATATCTAAAAGACTATGGAGCAAGGCCTGAAAGTAGTTCTCATTCCAGCAGTGTCTCAAACACATACCTCCGTGCCTTTCTCCACAGACATTCCTGCATGTATCAGATCACAAAATGAGTAGGAATGGGTGCCTGTTATGAAGCCTTGATCTCTGACACCTAGTGGAGCTTGTTGTGGGGAGTTTCTGCTCAGCCAAGCAGTACATATTTAAAAGATGATGATCAGACTTTGTTTACAGTGTTCCCAGGACTTGGGGTCAATATTACATAAATATGAACGAGCTGAGAGATCAAGGCCAGGGTTTAGCCTGCAATGAAAACACATTTGTGCTCTCATCTCAGTTGCTGTCTCTTTTTCTGACCAGCTAGGAAAGGAAGGGAAATCTGGAGTAAGTCAAAACAAAGCTGTACCATTATGTTACAAACACAGACAGGTGTTTGTACAGAAGCAAGAGAGGTCACTTTCAGTCAGTGCAGTTGTATTCTTGGCCTCCCACGCTGCAAAGCAGCACAGGCTGTGCTACATGGACTGTGTCTTCCTCTTAGAACAGCTGCTTTCTAGCTTGGTGAAGCTCCAGTCTCTGCAGGGTGACCATAAAAGTAATTTTAACCCAGAGCCAGCAGTGGCATTCATGGCACCTTAGAGTTTTCCTGTTCTCAGTCTTGTAGGCTTGGTTTAGCAGGAACTCCTTGGTAGCAAGGAGTGCACTATCAGATTTGGAAAGGTGGGTAGGAAATACACTATAGCAGGAATCAGCATTGCAGGGTCCCTCACAGTGAGACCTGGAGGAAGGTGGGGGCTACACAGGATGCAACCGAATGTCCAGCATCATTTCCCAAGGACGTACTTACTTGTCCAGTCCAAGGCTCCATCCTGGTCAAGGGCACAGGTGGAGGAGGGATCCTCAGAAACACGGACAGTGAGGGCTTGTAGCAGAATCATCAAAATTGCACCTTCAACCTGGCTGTGGGGAGAAGCCAACATGCAGTTATGGCACCTGCCTGACTTATCAGTGCTGCAGACAATCCCAGCTTCCCAGTCAGAAGGGAGCGAGGCTTCTTTCTGGAGCAGGTTCCTCCTACCAGAGAAAGCTACTGCTGGATTCCGCTGGCCCAGGCACTTGGTTAACTGGCCCTGGCTCACAGGGTGTCCAGATCAGCCTTTCTGCACATGTCCAGACAAAGGGCCAGTGTGGCAGAATCACTATATACTCCCTCTAAAGGCAAGCAGGTGTTGAACTACATCTCTCAAAAAGCTGAGGCTTATTCACTGGGCAGAGACTTGGAAACACCTCTCACTCCAGGACTGAGGATGGAAAAAAGTCATGCTATGACTTCAGCCTCCTCCTTACTCATAGCTGGCTGGCAGCAGCAACAAAGTCCACAACCAATGAGAGACAATAGCCTTCAAAGGCAGTGTCTAATGCCCCTCACTCACTGATGTTTCTTGCTGCTGGAGCTCCACCTGACACAAAAGGTGGCACCAGATTATTTGTATCACTGATTAGAGCTCCAACAAGTCATTCCTGCTGAATTCCAGAGCCAGCCTTAGGCAGGTAAATTGGTAACAGGAAGGACAGTCACTGTCCCATCTGTTGTGACCAGGTGCCCTGGGGCTGATGAGCCCCATCTCCCTCAGCAGAGCACTGAGACCTGACAAGTACCTGTACTGTGATGGGAATGGGTGTGTCTCTCAGGCACACAGCCCTCATGTGCTCCAAAAGATGCTGGACATGGTTAAATCACGCTTCGTGCCAAGCAAGGGAGACCTTCATCTTCCTTCTTGCTTTTCTTGCACCACTTCCATGTAATCCTCCTTGCTTTAAAACATTTAGCTCTTCAGCTCTATCACTCAGCCAACCAGCTCCCCTCTTGCCATGGTCATGTTCACAGACACCAGAGAGAAGTTCAGCAGGGTGGCAAGCACTGATGTCCATGCTCTCTTCTCTACCTGCACCCACACCCCTGTGTGTGTGTCTGTGTGTGTTTGAATCCAAGTTCAGCTGTCAACTGGATTTAAGCTGCCTGCTTACCTTGCAACAAAAATCAGGCCTGAAGACGTGCCCTCTCCCACGGGGTAGGAGCACTCCACAGCCAGCTCCATGGCAATGGGGTAGATGGCAAAACCGAAGAAACCGAAGAGTGAGCTGGTGATGGCCAACACGATGGCCTGATGTCTGAACCGAGAAGCCTGCAGGCAAAAGACACAATAGTCTCAGTGTCAGTACTGTTGCATAGAAAGTCTCTGAACCCATAACCTGCAGGAAGGTCCAAGGCCTCACTGTCTCACCACTACCTTCCCTATCTGTTCCTGAAATCAATTTTTTACCTCCAGGTCTCTAGAGTCAACTAATGGCTACACAATGGAGAGTTATTTGTTGAACTGAAGCAAGAGGAGGGAGGATTCAGCAGAATTACCTGAAAAGCACTGGTGTGGTTATAATACTTTAACTTGATATCCTGGATAGTAACTTACCAGGAATGTGTTCAGTATACCTCTAGCCAAAAGTGAAACACACACCTTCCTCCCAGTGCAAAGTAACATTTTGTAGGTGCTGTTTGCATTGGGTTACATGTGAGAATTCACTGGATTGCTGCAGCTCAGTGATAAGGAAAATCAGTCAGACTCATGTTTGTAAAACTGGGCTTTTAACATAAACAAAAATACTCCAAAAAAACACAAACCAAAAAGCAACCAAAAAACCATAAAACATTTACAAAACATGGAGATGAGTTTAGTGTCTAGAACAGCCTTGTCCCTAACTCCGGAGGAAAGAGCATGGCCTTGTCCAACCAATGCTGGTAAAGATGAAGTACTTTGCAGCCACACTGCTGGTACCTCCTTCTTTACTGATGTAATAAATTCCCACAGAGGAACATGTGGTGTCTGTCCTGGCACAGCTGCAGGCCTGGCCCAGCTAAACTGGTAAAGTCAAGAAAAACTCTGTTTGAAATCCGAGTTTGAAGCGGATTTGAATGGGTTATTTTTGTTCTAATACTTTGAACTAACAGTTCATCTGTATGGGATGATGGTGAAGAAAGGAAGGGGAGGAGGGAAAGGTTTGCTTGTTGCTCCTAACACTGCCTCCTTCCTACTCAGTGCTTTACCTGAGTCCAGGCAATCTGACTTGTATACAGATCATCCTCAAAAAAAATGCTGGAGTACTAAAGGGGGAAATGCAAGGCTTGCTTTAGGCACCTTGGCCTACAGTGACAAAGGCATTGCATTTGTCTGTCTCTTTCAAATGGAGCTACCATCACTGGGATCTTAGCGCAGGGGAAGGTGGGATCACACTCTACTGAAAGTCTTGATTTTTTCAACACACAAGAGAAATGCACAGCATAAGCCTGCAGGGAAAGCAGAAAGCTGCACCATTCTGGGTCCTCTGCAGTGCTAGGAGTCCCCTGTGTCATGATCAGATTCTTGCTGTGTGAAGGCTCCGACTGGCAATGGTTATGCTTGAGTGCAGTACTTGCACTCTAGCCTCATGGGCATAAAGTCTCCAGGTTCTGCATTCCTCTCCTGACTGAATCCAAGTGTTCTACTTTTTTGCCTCTCTTGTCTTGTCCTCCTCAAGGAACTACTGAAGAACTAGGCACGTAACTAGGTCCTTTCTGCTAATGTTACACTCCCGACAGCCACCCCTGTTAAAGGCAGGCGTTGGGAAAACAGGGCATTCTTGTTCATTTTTGTAAGATAGATATTTAGCAGTTCCATTTCCTTTCTGAAAAAATGGCCTTGGGAGTCAGGAAGCAAACATGGTGATCCAGTGTAGGGAAGTAAAACTATGCCAATTTATTTATATCCTGAATCAGTCTCTTTCGGGCTCCACAGTCACTGTGAAATTCTCAGTAAAGGGTTTTTCTTTAAAACATTCCTAGCCCAGAGAGATAATTCCAAAGCGTAACACATGGCTTAATAAATACTATGACATCAAATGACCTTGGTTTAAGCCGATGATTTATCAGATGGCAACAGAAATAAGCCCACGGATATGGTGTAATGCAAGGGAGAACTCACCACTGCAAACACAATGCTGGCAAGTGCACTCAGACAGAAACAAATCTTGGTGGACTCTATGAACTTCCTTGTCCGGTCAACATACATGCCTAGTAGGAAAGCACCCAACAAACCACACACTGTGAACAGGGCACCATTCAGGCCAGCAAAATCCTGGAGGGTAGAAGAACAAGTAATGAGAAACTAGAGCAGTTAGAAAAGAGATTTTAATGTCGCTGACCCATTTGCCAAATGCCAGGGGATCACTTACTGAGGTAGGAAAAGCGTCCTTGCCCGCTGCAGTAGTTGAGGCATTCACAGGGTGCTGAGTAGCAAGTAACAAGTGCTTCTACCAGTGTGTGGGGACAGCAGGGTGACAGCACTCCCAAGGGATGACCAGTCTCTGCACACTTGTCAAGGGAGGCTGGGTGCAGAGCAACAGCAGTTCCTGGCATTAAAAATTCAAGCCTGGAGCCACTGGGCTCTTTCAGGGGCAATCAGGTGCTTTGTCCACACTGGTGCTAACAGGTCCAGCTGCCTTGGGACCTGCTGCTGTTTATAATCATCCTCCTGGCCCTTTTCTTACCAGGGACCTGCACTGGCACACCCAACACGTGTTAGATGGGACACATCACCTGGCTGTGTCAAAGCCTAATTAGAGAGGCAGTGAGCAGTAGCTAAGATGGGGTACATGCTCTGCTGCCTGCAGTGATTACCCTTTGTTTGTACTACCTCTTCAACTCCATAAGAATTCAAATGCAGACAGCAATCCCAAAAGCAGAGCAGCTTTTAACGAATTTGGGTAAACATTTTTGGGAGCCTCAGGCGCAGACTGGAAGGAAAGGGTACACGAAATGGTTTCTGTGGGCTAAAGGGGTGGGACAAGCCAGTCACACAGACAAAACCATCATGAGGGACAGAAAGCAAGGCTGAAAAGTTTAAAAGGTTTCCAGGTAAAAGCCAACGGTGTTTGCAAACACGAACTGGCTATGGAGCCCTGAGCCAGATGTTAGACCTGGGAGCTGGAGAGGGGGTGGACAGAGACCAGACATGTAAATGTGCATACATAACATCTGGAGAGGTGTTTTAAGAGGACCTCCATGGCAATACAAGCAGCAGGACTGAAGTGCAGCCTGCTGAGGGGAAATACATGAACTGGGACATCCTCCTGCTGTTACAGGGAGAGAGCAGGAGGAGCCAGCTGTGCACACACTGTGCTGAACCATAAAAGCAGCACCTGAGCAGTGTCATAGCAAGGATGGGAAAACAGCTGTCACAGTACCTGGGACTTCCTCTGCTGCCCTGGCTTCGTGTAAGTCTGTGCAAAGAGGAAAAGCTGCTTGCCTTCAGCTTCACTTTAGGGCCTGCCTGGGCTCCGTTCTACTCTGGGATAGGTGACAGAAGGCTGCACAGATATCAGTGCTCTGGAGGGGCTTAGGAAAATTGCAATATTCTTTTTTCCTAAAAAAATTTTCACTTGCAAATGGGAACCTGGTCATGAGCAGTAATGAAAATGCAGGTTATCCATTATGCTAAGAGGTTGGCTGTGCTCTGGATTAATGTACTGCTTAATCTATATTAGATAATATGAACAAATAAGATATGAGACTGCAGCATATTCAATTGTCTTCATTTTGCTCTGAATTCCTTATCAGGGAAAATCAATTTGATTGTATCATAGATTATTTGGACAATGGGGAGAAAAGGAGGAAGACTCACATTTGAATACCCCTTTTCACAAAGGATCTGTTCTAGCAGGGCTGAAAAGCAGGTGAACATCCCAATTCCTCCTCCAAAGCACACTGCCAGGATGATGTATGGCTTGTTTCTCAGGAGCTAAAAAAAGAAGTTAGTGTAAATAAGTGGAGGGGGAAAAAGAGCCTGGCTGTGACAGTAGACTTGAAGGTGAGCAGGTGAAAATGCTGACAGGGCAACCCTGTGATTACTGACAAAGTAGGGCTTTGTCCTGTCAGTTCAGCCAGAGGACAAGTTAAAATTGGGACCATGTAGGGAGGAAAGATCTCTTCAGTGCCCAAATTCTTCCTTCGTGTTGCCATGTACTGTCCTACCCCTTACCACATCTGTTCAGAGGGCTCAAGTTGTGTGGTCCTCTTGGGTGAGCCCAGGTGTGCCTGTTTGAGGTATCTGAATGACAGCCAGACCACAGCTGAATGCTCAGATAGCATGTCTTGCAGCTTTGCTGTGAGCAGCCTTCACTCCCTGAGGAAGGAAGGGATCCTGATCCCCTTCAGGGGGCTTTCCATGCAGGTTTGGGGAAGTGGCGTTCTGAGTCTGCTTTGTAAGGAAATTCCTCAGCATATTCCTGTCTGGCAGGGCTGCATCCCTCACTCCACATGGCACTCTCTGTGCTATAGCACTCACCATTTTGAGCCCCGTGAAGAACGGCTGTGAGTTGGAGTTAGTGGCACTGGCTGAAGGAGGCGTGGGAGGAACCTTCTCGTGAATCCCCAGTGTTGCCAGGGCACAGGCAGTTACTGCTGGGACAGCATAAACACCCAGCTACACAACATAAGGACAAGACAAGTTACCAGTCTTTCCAGCTCCACTGCTCCCAAACAAATAAATCAGCTGGACTCAAATTAGCCCAGTTAAAATGGACAAAAGCAGATTTCATTTACCATCAGTGGAATGTGCTTTCCTTCAGGAACTAGTGCAGGTGACAACAAGTTTGCTATAAGGATGCCTAAAGGATTGGCTGGAAGGAAATAAAAGAGAGACATTTTTTTTCATGCAGGTAGTCAGAATTATGTGTCTGCCCCTACTGCCTGCCAGCACCAGAGCTTCCGTGTGCAGCAGAGTAATAAGGATAGAACAAGGCATAAACAGGGAGAAACTAGTAGGGGAACATTTGGAGAAGCTGACTGCTTGGTCTTACTGTTGCCACATTTGTTCTCTCACCCCCATGAAGTTCATCCTATAAAACCATTTCCCTACAACTCCTAACCCCTCTAGACTGTTTTTCATCTGTGAATTATGATGTACTCACCCTCAGAAGCTTGCCTCAGTAAATGTCAAGCTGAAGGGACAAAATTAAGGTAAATGAATCCATGTCATCTGTCCTGGTATTATATGGCAGGAGTTACAAACAGAGATGTTTTCCATTCTTTGTTCCCCCATGCCATTAGGGGGAATACACTATTGTGTGTAAGAACCCCCTGAGGCTTCTGGAGGGTGAACAGTTTCAGCTTGCTCAGCCTCAGCTGGCATCACAGATGCTCCATTCCCTTAACTGTCTTAGTGGCTCTTAACTGCACTTACACTAATATGTCCACGCCCTTCTAACATTGAAGGAATCAGATGTGGACAGGGGACCTCCTCAGCCTGCTGGCAATGCTCTTTTTAAAGTCACTAGGATGCCATTAGTTTCCTTTGTCAAAAGGGCATGAACAGCAGATAAGCCAAATGACAGCTCTCTAAAGTGACACTAAGTCATTCCTGACACTTTTCAAGCCTTTATACTTCCTCAGTAAAGCCCAAACAGGCTTAACAAGTTGATCTTTGCTATCAACTACAAAAATCACATGACAGCAGAGAATCTCGGACACTGTACTTCGAGAGGGTGTTGCATTGTTATGGGGCTAGAGCTGAGCAGCATGTGAAGCAGGACTCCTGGGACTTAGCTTGGAAACACCTAAAATTGCAGGAGACAATTTTTGAACTTTAAGGCAACATTCTGCAAATACTCATAGTAGAGTTGATTTTCTACTAGTGTGCAGAGATGGGATTAGGGAAGCCAAAGCCAGCTTGGAACTGAGTCTGGTGAAAGGCAACGAGGGCATCTGCAAGCACTTTAGCAGCAAAAATAAAGTTAGGGAAAATGTGGTGCTGTTGCTGGATAGGGTGGGTGACAAAGCACACAGAAAATGCCAAGGTATTCAATGCTTTCTTCACTTCATTTGTTGTTGGTAAGACTGGTCTTCAGCCCCAAGACCAGAGGTGAAGTCTGGAGTAATGAAGATTTACTCTCAATGGAGGAGGACTAGGTTAGAGAACATTGCATAGCCCAGACATACACAAATCCATGAGACTGATGGGATGCATCAGTACTGAAGAAGCAGATTGTTTGCATTGCAAGGCCATTCTTGGTTACCTTTAAAAGGCCATGGCAATTCCAAGAGGCTCCTGAACACTGGAAAAAAGCATATGTCACTCCCATCTTCAAGAAGGACAAGGAGAATCCAGGGAACTTTCCAGGCCTTTCAGTTTCACTTTGATCCCTGGGAAGGTCATGAAACAACTAATGCTCTCCACCATTTCCAGGCACAGGAAGGACAACAAAGTGAAAAGGAAAAATGCCTAACTAATCTCGTAGCTTTTATACAGTGAAATGACTTGCTGGATGGATGAGGAAAGGGCAGTTGACACTGTCCCCATAACAATCTTGCAAAAAAACTGACAAAGTACTGGCTAGACTATTGGACAGTGAGATGAACTGAAAGCCAACTGAATGGCCAGGCCCAGAGGCCTGGAAGACAGGAAGTGACAGGAAGACCAGCTGGATGCCAGTCACTAGTGATGCACCCCAGGGGCTGATACTGGGGCCAGTACAGTTTAACCTGGATGATAGGACAGACTGCACCAACAGACAGTCTGCAGATGATGTGAACCTGGGAGGAGTGGCTGATAGAAGAGGTGGCCATGCTGCCATTCAGAGGCACTGCAACAGACTGAAGAAAATGGGTAAAGGGGAATCTTGTGAAGCTCCGCTAGAGGAAATGTATTGTGCTGCACCTGGGGAAGAATAATGACCCCCATCCACCAGTGCCCCTTGAGGCTCACCAACAGGAAAGCAGCTCTGCAGAGAAGGACCAGAGGGACGGATGGACACCAACTTGACCATGAGGCAGCAACACAACCTCCCGATAAAGAAGGCCACCAGCAGCCTGGGCTCTGCACTAGGCAGGGTGTTGTCAGTGGGAGGTGCTCCCTCCCCTCTACTCATCACTGGTGAGTCCACATTTGGATTATTGCGTCCAGTTCTGGGACCCCCAGTGTGAGGGAGACAGGAACTTACTGGTCCAGAAAACATAAAATATGATTAAGGGACTGGAGCTTCTGTCACGTGAGGAGACATTAAGAGAGCTAGGACTGATCAGCCTGGAGAAGCTACTGGAAAGCAGTTTTGCAGAGAAGGACACAGGGTCCAGATGGATTGCAAGTTGACCACAAGCTAGCAATGCACCCTTGAAGAAAGGTGTTCAACAGCACGCTGGGCTGCATTAGGAAGAGCATTTCCAGTAGCTGAAAGATCTTTACTCTCTACTAAGACCTGGTGAGAAACATAGAGAGGGCTGAGTCCAGTGCTGGGTTCCTCGATACAAGACACCAATTAATGGAGCAAGTCCAGACAAGGGCCAAAGACATGATTAAAGAAGTGGAACATCTCTCATACCTAAGGAGGCTGAGACAGCTGGGACTGTTTAGCCTGAAGAACCTTAATCAGCAATTACAAAGATGGAACCAGACTTTTCTCACACAAAGCATAACACAGGAATTTCTACCCAAACATAAACTTCTTTACTGTGATAGTGGTTTAGCACTGAAACAAGATGCTCAGATAAGCTGCAATACCTTCATCCTTGCAGACAGTCAAAACCCTGAATAGAGATAAACCTGGGCAACCTGGTCTAGCCAGGCTTGACTGAGCAGGGCATTGGAGATGATCCCAAGAGGTGCCTTCCAACCTTATCTGTTCCACGGTTCTGCTGAGGCGTCATTAATAGTGCTACAGCTGTAGTCTTTCTGCTCTGTACTTGAGAAAGTACTAGCTTATGATGCTGGTGAAATGTTACCTGCTTCTAAGTACATGAACACAATTAAACAACAGTTTCCAAGGAGATGGATTAAATCTTCTCTGTTGGGGTAAAATGCAACTGGGCATTGTCGAGAACATTTGCAGGTTGTCGCCTGCAAACTAGTCAGCTGTTTTCATGAACTATAGACATGTTGAAGCAGTTCCAGAAGGTATGGCTGAAGGTTGAAAATGCGAGCATTGGGCTAAATTTTAATTTAAATTTTAAATTTAAATTTAAATTTAAAAGACTGAGACTACTTGAGTAATTACATGGTTTCAGCTGTCTTCTTTTCCTGGGAAGAGAAATTTTATGAGCCTAAACCTTCTATGAATGGAAAGGAGATCACTGCAGTTAATCAACTGTACATTATGGTCCAAGAGTCCTGGTGGATTAGGTTGCAGTACTCTGCAATGGAGCTATGTGTTTTGTGGTCAGTGATGCTGATGCACTGAAACTCCTCAGGGTGCAGACCACAGTAAATGAAGAATCCTATGGATGAAGCAGGGGTCACTTCAGTGGAATCAGACAAGACTGTCTACTTTTGACACAGGAGAATTTCTCATGGTGTTCACAGGAGATCTGGCACTGCTTCTCTGTGAGTAAGTCTCTAGAAGTGATGGGTAGGACCAGAATACAATAAACACTCCAGAGCTGAGTCATTAATCACTCTGACAGCTGAGTCATAGTGATTTCAGCTGCTCAGCAGGATCCTGGGTGCAAGGTCCATATTTGTCACAAAAGCCTGGGGAAGACTACCCACTAAATAGCAAGAGGCTGTAGGGCCAGTTTCTGTGTGCAGCACCGATATCAAACATACTGGAGTGCTGAGTGCTGCTCAGGCAATTACACAGGAAATGGGTACTGATAATTTGGAGCAATATGAGAGAGAAAGCTCAAGTGAGCAACAGGAAGACATGGAGACAAGTGGGAAGAAGCAAAGGCAAACGTGGCTGTAAAGTTACTTTTTCCTAGACAAAAGAGAGAAGAGGTGATTCTGTCCATAACTACCTGACAAACAGGTGCAACAAGACTGAATAGCTGGGGGATAAGGAGCATTGAGATGAGAAGTAACAGGCTGACATTTGCCAGTGATGTAATTAGCCACTGGAATAAATGACTGGGGCTGCGGTAGATCCTCGTTCTAGGCAATATTTAAATTTTCTTGAAATGAAATCCTGATTTCATACAGCAAACATTATGGGTGTAAGCAGGCATTATAAATAGAAGCCCTCTGTACAGCAACCTGCAGGTGTTGCTGCAGACAGTAATCACAGCCCATTCCGACCACACTCTGATGTCCCAACATGGCAGAGACTGAACAGCTTCAGGTTTCAGGAATCTATGGTTTCTTGCTCTTCAGTTTTATTCTTACCATAGTTAGATCCGTTTAGTCCTGAAAAGACTAAGGAGCTATGTGAAAGAAATGCTCTTTGGCTGCTCTGTCTGCTCTCTTACTTAAAAAAGGTAAGTTGTTTGCAGGCTGGAGTCCTTCAGGGCTATGAAGCACTGAGTGCCCAGTGGTCCTTGGTGGTATTGTATGGTGCCACACTGACAAAAGAGCTCCTTCTCCAGCAGGGAAGGTGAAGGTCTGTCTCAGCATTGGGAAACAAGGTGAGTCATCAGGTCCACCCTATTCTAGGAAAGGCAGCGCAAAAAGATTTTATTTGTTCTGAGACCATAAATCCATTCTTGCTAAACAAGAGAGTCCATGCTCTAGGCTTTCAGAAAGCTGTATAGAGGTGCTTCTGTACTGCCCTTTTGCCCATGCCTGTCCCTTCTTCACAACTCCAACACAACGGGGAGGGAAAGCAGCTGTTGGCTGTTTTGACAGAAGGACATACAGGGCTCCCCCACACATGTAGGTACTGTGAGATTTCCCAGCTGGAGCCAGCGAGCCAGCCCAGTTTCTGAAGCATTCCTCAGGTCCTTGGAGAAAAGAGGAAGAGATTTCTTTGGCTGCTGGGTAAAAAGCCACATGAAGGGAGGAAACAGGTCTGTCAAGTGCAGTATCCTGTCTCTACCTGGGCCCAAAGGAGCCAAGGAACGAGATTAGAGCAAGCTTATCTGGTGCCTCTCCTCCAGTTTCCCACCTTCCAGGCACTTAGCAAGGCAGGTGTGGCTTCTGTGTGGGTTGTCCCACCATTTAGCATCCCCAACATGTTGGTGTGGCCAGCTGAGGGTATTTTATCTGTGTATGCATACACACCAATTAAGAATACATGCTCAGTCTTGCTACTGGACAAACTGGTGGACATCACTGCCACAGCAGTCCCACCTCTATCCAGTTACAGAATTTGGCAACTGTGACCATTGGCACTACATGCAATTTGGACACCTTCCTAAGAAGCTGCAAAATTAAGGCCACTGAAGACTTCGTACTTAGTAACATTAAGGGCTGTCCCTAACCTCTATGATATTTAGGCAAAGATGATAATCTCTTCATGGCAGAGAGGAAGAAGGTTAGAAGCCTGGGTGGCTTGCTCTGAACATAGCACCCAGATGTGGCTTAGACCCATTTCTTGCTCCTGTGTTTTGTTGCACGTGGCTACAAGACTCTTGGGTGGAGCTGCATTTGCAAGGTCAAATGGCCGCAGTACAGAGGATTTCCTGTGCCTGCTGCCTCTGAAAAGCGAACAAACACTAGCAAGTTCTGGGAGACAGCAATATTGCTCCGAAGCTATCACTTACCCATTGATGCAATCATATTTGCTGTCGCTCTCTGGTGGTCTGGGAACCACAGTGCTGCCAGCTTTGTTGGTGAAAAGATGATAAGAGGCTGTGCCAGTGCACAGAGGCACTGCCCAATAAATAGGTACCAGTAACTCCGGGAACCCAAGCTCAGGAACTTCAGGACGCTGAACATCCGCGTGATGCTACCCATCATATTCAGCCACGCACTCAGGATCACCTGCAGCAAGCAGAAACAGGGCCTGTGTGCTGAAGCCTGAAGGGTAGAACTTAATAAAATAGATTAGCATGAGCAGAGTCTCATATGCACCACAGAAGACACTGGGTGTTATTAATATGTGCCTGCAGATCATCCCCACCCCATTGGGCCACTGTAAGATGCTCCTGATCCAACTTGTCTCCTTAGGGAGCAATGTGGTTGTCTTGGCCCTGTATGAGAACTACACCACAGTGTAGCTTATGCAAGGGAGCAGACACTGGCATGGAATGGATGAGAAATAAAGTTCACTAATTACACCCTATTGGCAAGTTTGTGCCATCACCCATATTTTGCTGTGACAATCCAAAAATCATGGCAATGAATCATCCAGCATATGGATCCTGCAAATGCTCTTCTATACCACTAGCACACTAGTGTTTCAGTGCCACATTCCACAACACAGTTTTGGGAAGACTGTGTAGGGATCCCAAACTGGCTTAGCAGAGACCAAGCTCTGAGCTGACAGGGGTCTCTTGCTTGCATCCTGCCCTGCTGCTCCTTAAACTCATCCTGCAAATGAAATAGCTATGCTAATACTTTTCCACAGCAAATCCTACCCAATTACAGCTCTTCACAGAGTCAGCTCACAGCATCTACCCCTGTCAGTTGGCTAAGATAACAAAAACTAAAGGAAAGTAGGGGTGCAACCTTATTCTGACTTTTCCCACTGTTCTTCACCTCAGAGGTGATGTGACAGCTGTTACCGAAACAGCTTTCAACATGCTTATCCTCTGCAGCATTTGGCAAGGCTCCCATCTAAAGCATGCAAGTTAGTGCTTTCTGCATCTGCTGTCTCTAGGTGAAACCTCCTCAGGGAAACAGAACACTTCAACTCACAGCACACCGGAGCCCCACGCTGTCGAGAACCCACGTTGCCACCAGACCAAACGGGATGGAGATGAGGAGGTACACTATTGAGAGCCAGTTGACTGTCTCCAGGGAAATGTGGAAGTAGGCAGCTGTCTTATCAGCCACAGGAGCGAACGTCAGCCACAGCTGCAGAGTAGAGACCAAACACACGTAAGCACAAAAACCTCCAGAACAGAAATTCAGCATCTCCTCAAACTGAGTTGTGAGGAGGCTCACTGTCTCAGTCTCTCCTTGAAATTAGGATTTTAAGGCTGGCAATAAAAATTCAAACCTCCAGTGTCTGCAGTTACTCGGCCCAGAGCACCCCATCCATTTCTCTGCCTCATCCCCAATCCCCTGGACCTGATGCTGTAGGCTGCCAAAAGTAGAGGTCAGTACCTTTTTCAGTCGCTATGTTGAACATGTTGGCCTCGATGCATGCACTTACCTGATGTAAAACACAAGCAATGCTTCTATACTAGCATAAACAAAATGAGGCTGCTGCCTCCTCTCTGCAACTAAGAGCCTCCTAAACTCAAGACTGCTATTTACAGTTCCACTGGTAACTCCTGGACATCTTGCAAGAACAACTTTGTTATGTGTCAGCCAAGAGAGGTACATTATTCCATGCTTTCCTCTATACACTCAGTTGATAAAAAAAGGCCTAGAAATTTGCATTATTCAGTGTATCAGGACATGTAAGATGGAAGGCACACACAGAAGTAGTACTTTAATAACTATCCATATTTTTCTTCCAATGCCATATCTGAAAATATCTCCCTAAACCTTGTTTTAGGTACTGGTTTCACAGTTCCTATCTGCTTCTGGTTTCTTATAAGAATGACAAGACTTACTTGATTCTCAAATCAGGTCCTGAGATCATGCCCACAAGAAAGACATTTAAACCCAAATTTAAGGATGTTTCTGTAGAATTTTTTGCAAAGACACCTCCTGGTGCTTTTCAAAAAGATTGGCCTAACCTGAGAACAAGTTTCAATAATGCAGATGTTAAGCTACTACGGTGTTAGAAGATGATCTTGCTGCTGCTGAATACTGAAGATAATAAAGTTTGCAGAAAAGTGAACAAAAACTTCAGCTATAGCTTTCTACAGAAGAACTCCAGCCACTGTTGCTTTCCAGGCACTCCTCCCTGCCATCACAAGCTTCCTCTTCCCAGTTTGCATCTTGCAGACAGGATCATCTGTGGCATTAATGTGTAACTGAAAAAGGGCTCAGGTAACCTCAGAGGAAGTTGTGCCCCTACACTCTACTTGTTATTTCCAGTGTTCTAGTACTTTTCTTACACGCTAGGGACCATAAAAACTACCAGATTAGACAGAAGCAGAATGGGAGATGGACTTTTGTTCTTCTCAGTGTCACTGTGTGAGAACAGCCATGTGCAAATCACTGTTTAGCTAGGCTTTTCTCCTAGTAGGGATGCAATGAGTAAATGGTGGTAAAAGAGAAGTTTTGAATGTAATATCAGTGTCCTTGCAAGGATGCCTAGCATCAGTCTTCTCTGGAAGGAGCTGACATACTACTGTCTCCTGCATTCAACTCAAAGTTCACATCACCACGCTGGGCTCAGACACACACATGACATCAGTCAAAGGTCTGGCAGGGGATGGAATTGGTATTCGCTCAGCTTCTTCAGTCAGGTGGATGAAGATGCTGGGTGCTCAAGGAAATTGTACTCTTAGACAACATGGAGGGTATTCCAGATCACTTCCCAGACTTTCATCAGACTGGGATAGGAATTTAAATGTTTAATGCTAATGTAACTGTTTAGATGCTACAAGCATCACTAAGGCATGAGCATTAATTTGATTATGGGATGCTAAACTGCTGCTAAACAAATCCCAGCTGTGTATTTCCAGCAATAGCAGTTCTCAGTTTCTCACTGCCTTCCAGATGGGGGTGGTGGTGATGAAACACTGTACCAGGAAACAGTGTAATTAAAGAGATGATACACTTTGTAAGCCAGCTTCAGGTAAATTTGCATTCCTCCTGTTCCTCTACACAAGATGCTCACCCATGCATGACATCATTAGGAGAGTCATGGCACAAGCCAGAGCACAGCATTTTGTGTACAGTGTATGTGTCCACACAAGCTGGGATTAAGTATTCTGACGCATTTCCATTAGACCGAGTAAAACCGTTCCTTGCTGAAAACCAAGCACACGAGCTGCGCTGTACTCTTATCCTGAACAAGAATTCCAGTTCTAGCATATGTGTGTGAGAGCACAGAAGCTGGAAAGTTGCCACCTGTCCAAGCCTGAGGCCTGAGCTTGTTTCTCAAAATAGGATGTGGGTTTCTTCAAGAGTCTGGAGACAAAAAGTATGTTTCGTTGTTTACCATGTGTTGCTCTAACAGAGAAATTCAGAACTGGGCAATGGAGCTCAAGGTGTTACTGTAGTCAAAGAGGCCACCAAATGCCCCTGCAACAAAGAGATGGCACTGCGGAGTGGAGTTTTGCCAGCACAGGGAAATAGTGAGTGAGTATGCCACCTCCTGCTTTTGGTTTTTCCAGCTGTGGTAATTTCACCCACAGTAGCTAGTAAGCTCTTCTGCTAGGAGCTGGAGCCCTTATCCTACATGTTTTTCTGAAACTCTGCACTGCCAAGGCTGGTACTTACACAGAGATTGCTCTCATTCAAGTCCACTCAGGCAGAACATGTAAAGAAGATGCAGTTTTTTCTTGGTGAGGTCGAAGTCCTGTAACATCTAAAGATACATAATACAGGCAGAGGGAGGTTCCACTCTCCTTCATTCTCCAAGGGCCATTCTCTTAACTCAGCTTTGGCCCACCAAAGCCACAGAATCACAGAATGACAGATGTTCTGAGCTGGAAGGATCATTGGGTCCAACTCCTGAATGAATAGCCGTATCAAAGCTCAGGTGAGCTTTGATACCCACTGCAGGTCACAGGGACAGGTGCAGGAGGAGAGAGAACATGAGAGATCATAGGATGTCAGCTCCCAAAATCTGGTTGCTTCTGGGACAGATAAGTGAAAAAGAAACAGAGAGACAGATGCCTCTGTGGAAATACACCCTTGTGGTCTGGTCAAGCTACGCTCAGCTCCATTGTCTGAGAGGCCACACAGAACTAGAGCCTCAGTGTGAGGTGCAGAAGGCATCAAGAGGAGCCTCTGTTATGCGCTATGCTTCTCTGGAGGCAGCTCAACAGATGTCACAATGTCAGTTCCTGCTTGCGATGGTGACAAGCAATTTTCACTCACCTACTACAGCTCATGTGCCTTCAGAGCCCTGCCAGGGCTACAATTAACCAGAACCTTTCATCACACTTCGACAGAATTCCCAACTTGGCAAAAGTTGGAGTGGATGGTGTTGGAGGTCAGCAGCAGTTCACATTTTGGGCCATGGCACATTAGGCCAAGAGATTCATACAGAAACCCACGCAGAGCTACTAAAGCACAGGAACTCTTTCCTCTGAAGACCAAACAGCTACAATGAGTCTGCGAGCCCAATCCCTTAATACTTGGCAAAACTCATTTCCCAGCATTACCTCACAGATTTTGCGTTAGTTGTTCTCAAACGAAGCTTCTCCTGTAGTATAGTCCAATGTCATTGGTAATGTTCACTCGTGTTGTAGACCATAGTATTTGCTCCTTCAGCATTTCGTATGGACCTTTCCCTCCTTTCAGATATGCATCTAGCAGGATGTTGGAATAGCTGCTGCAATAGCACACACCATTTCTTCTCCAAATATACAAATTGAAGTTCCCACACTCCTCTCCTGAGTTCAAGCCTTAGAATCAGATTCATCTCACTGTGATTTCTGGGTTTAGGGACAGCAAAAGCTTCAGTGCATGCTAGTGTGGGCTGGAGTCCTATCTCAGCACACATTCTTTGCTATAAAAACCTGTGCTCTGCACAGCAGGCACAGCAGCTCAGGAAGTGGAGAGAAGGTCCCCTGAAGACCTGCAAGCTTGTTCTGGCTTGCAAAGGAGTACAGATGCAGCTCCCATTGGCACACAGCTGGCTGACTGGAGAGCCATGCTCCATCACCAGAAGAAAAGGACAGAAACGTTTTTCCACCTAGAGTCTACTTACATCCCTAATTACAGGGGGGGCCCTCCACACTTTCTTTAACAATGTAGGACAACCAGGGAAAGCAAGGGCACTGACAGTCAAACCAGTTGATTGGTACAGATGTTGGAGGGGTCCTGGCTCCACTTTCAGCTCTCCCTCCCTTTGCTTTAAGCTTCTTCTTCTACCTTTTGCATTTAATCCTCCAGCACCTCCCAGGGACTGCCTGGTCCCTTCTCCATTAACTGAGGCTTAATGTCCTTTAAAGGGGGCTGACAAGAAAGATGGAGAGGAACTTTCACAAGGCACGTAGTGGTAGAACAAAGGGGAATGGCCCTAAACTGAATAAGGGTAGATTTAGATCAGAGATTAGGAAATTTACAGTAAGGTTGGTGAGGCACTGGCACAAGTTGCCTGGTGAGGTTGTGGACTCTGGAGTTGTTCAAGATGAGGCCTGGATGGGGTTCTGAGCAATCTTGTCTAGTAGAAGGTGTCCCTGCCCATGGCAGGGAGGGTGGAACCTAAAGATGATCTTTAAGGCCCCTTACAGCCCAAACAATTTTATGATTCTATGAAAATTGCAAGCCTTCATGGGCATTCCTGTAACCAAGAACAAGTTACAGCTGTTCTCATCCTGATGCCATTCCTGTTTTTCTGTTACATTTTCTGATACCCTCTTAAACCCTTAACTGATTCTCAAACATGGTTTCAGCCCTCTTCCTCCCAGAATCAGCCCAAACCCTCTCATTTTCCTCCTGCTTTCATTCCCCTTCCACTTCCATCTTCTCCTGGTTCAATTCTTCCACCATATTGCTCTCACTGTTTCCACATCCATACAGATTCTCCAGGAACTATTTCACCCACAGGACCTAGTTTCCCTCCATGAATTCCAAGGCAGCCCACAGTCCCCAGCTTTGCCTACAGCAGTTCTCCCAGTCCCAGCATGCTTTCTCTCATGCACCTGGACACTGATTACAGGGCGATGCAGGATGTCTTTCTGCAGTACAGAGGCTGCCCCCTCGCCCTCTGAGACCAGGCTGTGAAGCCCTTACAACACAGTCCTCATCTTCAAGGTTAAAAGGGCCACGTAGCCTGGAAGCAAACAGCCCCTGGCCTCAAACGAAGGCACCCGTGCTGACACAGGAGCCTGGGAAGTCAGGACAGAGGCTGCCAGGCGGCAGCAGCTGTGTGTGCATGTGTATCTACAGGGGCGCTGCTGGAGCAGACTGGTGTGGGTGAGGAGCGTGTGCACCCTCCCCTGGAGCATGCCAGTCTCCACTTATGCAGCTCTCCTTCCTCTCCCAAGTACACTTAGAGGTGGTGTAAGTCCTCCAGCTGGTGAGTCAGGAACCACTTGGCCAAGCATGAGCCAGCTCCAAACCGCTGCTCCTCCCCAGCTTGCTCCAGCTGACAAGCACAGAGAAGGACAGTAAACACACCTGCTTTCATTCTTCTGTATTTTTCTGTGTCCCCAGTGTGAGAAAATAAGAAAAAGTTCCTCCCCTGAAACATAAATTTCCAACCTGCTTGGCTTCACAGGAAGGAGGCAAGAAGGAATGAGGCATTTGCTTCAGCAGTTTACCACTATAGCAGCTGTGAGCACACCATGAATACTCTTAAACATTAAGTCTTTGGATGAAAAAAAACACGTTTAAAACCACAGCATCAGTTTGGCAAAACAAACCCAGAGAGAAACCTCAGGCAGAGTTATGTCACACCTCACCAGCTGCAAGAGACAGCTGGGGATAAATCATCTAAGCTTAGCTGTGGTGAGAACATCCTCTCTGCCCAGGACTTCAGGTAGCAATGAATTATGCTGATGTCTATGGTGTTTATGGCCTTCTTAAGATAAGGTGGGGGTTTGTCTCTTACACTACATTGTCAGCAAGGAATTCACAGAATAGCCATATATAGGAAATGAGAACCAAACCCTGCTAAGGCAGTACCCTCCTTGTACAGCAAGGAGAGACAAAGGCTTTCAACCTCAGGTAATAGAGGTACAAGTAAGGGGCTATTTATCATTCATCATAAGGGCCTCTATTATAATATTAACCCCAATGTGCTCTGGTTAATGAAGGAATTACACACAGTGATGTAGAGCAGGGGGATATAGGAAAGAGTGCCCCTTTCATCACCAGGTGGTCTGTCCTGGTTTTGCTCAATCATATCCTAAACCAGACCAAACTAAGAAATGCTCCTTTCTCAGCCTGCCCTTCCTGCATGACCAAGCATCCTTTCTTGCAGTTAAGTTGCTTCTGTCTTGTCTTCCTGACACTGACAGAGACTCCCTCTCAGGACTGTCTCCTGACTGCCACTTTTAGTGACACCCAAGGACACTAGTAGAAAATTGCTGTATATGTGCAAGAGTGGGGAATACAAGGCATCATCCTGGAAACTTGGTCCAGAAAATGAGGTCCAAGTCAGAAAATTCAAAAGTCATATGTTCTTATCATATGCATTCGCAGATAGCCTGACACAGAGAACAAAGTGCTGCATGCAACATTTGCGTAGGAATCGAGGACACAACTTGCATGGCAAATTTTCACACCACAGAACTGGTAAATTAATCTTTTCATCTGGAACTTTTAAACAGCAAACAAACACTTTGATTTCATGGACTTTCAACCACTCCCTCCATTTTAATGTGATTTTTATCAGGAACATTTCAGAGAAACTTTAGCATGGGTAAATGTTTGGTTACAACTTTATACATCAGCATACTTGCCATTCCAGACCTTTGCAATGGCTTAGAAACAGTATTTCCACTCCAGGATTAGGCACTCAGTTTTGAAGGAATAAAGTTCCGGTCTAATTTCATACTGTGGAAAAATAATACTGCAGATAGTCAGGAAGTTGTCAAGAGAACAAGGAAACAGACAACAGGTCAATCTCTCAGGGCTACAAAGTTTTCAGCAACATGACTCAAGACACAGTTACACTTGCACATGCACTGAAAGGACCATTTTAAGTAACCCTCCAGTTTGTTTCACTGTTAAGGTTTCAGCAAAGTCAGAATCTGACAAGACATCCTGTCACTGTCCACTTTTAGCAGGGTGAGGGACTTTTTTGCCACATAATGTTCTTCTGCTGTGCCAGTGTAACCGCAAGCAAGCAGTCGAGTTTTTCTGCAGGGCATCTTTTTTTACACTCTTAAAGGATGCACTGATTTGCTATTGAGAAGGTGCATTTTCTTTTTTTCTCATATAGAGCCAAATTCTCACTATAATTTCCCATTTCTCTACTCCAGCGCTCTTGCATCATGGAATACCTAATCTTCCTTCCAGCATTTAAATGTTTGCAGGTTACACTGCCTGATCTTGTCTGCCAGACAGTCTGCATTCACAGCATGGTAATCCTCAAGCACATGAATAATTCTATATCAATCTGATAATTATCAACAATGTCCTCAGTGACTTGACGAGCAAAGATCTGGGCTTCTATCTTGTGTAGTAAGCCTTGCTAAGTTTATGAGTTTATCTCAGTAATTACTGAACTTAATTTTAATCTGTTCAACAGGTGGCATGGGATCAAGCATCTCATTTTTTCCTGGCCTTTCAGAATAAGGCAGTAAGAGTAGGCAGTAAGTTCACATAATCCTCTGTTTAGTGAAGAATCACTCCTATAGTGTTCTGTTTGTGCAACATACCCTGAAAGGAAACCTAGTTGCTCCTTTTTGTGACCAGACAAATCTGCTGTCTTAGGCCAGCAAAGAGGCCGAGCTAACTCGTGCTCCTCTCCCACGGCATTTCAACACTGCTCTGCTATTCTTAGGCTCGAAACATGTGACGCTCACAGACGCTGAACACCTTCTCTGTCTCCCCATGGCCTACGAAGTGGACTCGGCAACAACTTTTGCTGTGCCGAGTGGGACACATTTTGCTTCATCCCAGTCTGACTTGACGCTGCGGTACTTCCTGCTATGCTCTTGGAGATCACACACATCCTCCCGCCCCATCCTGCCCTTCCCCTGTCACCACCCCTCCGTGCCCCGGATCCCACCGGTCAGAAAGGGAAGCGTGCAGGCCGAGGTCGCAACCACGGAAACAAAGTTCAAAAGTAAAAGCCACTTATTCGGTCCCTACGGCACGGCCAGGCTGAGGCTCCTCTGAGCTGTGCGCGTACAACCGAGCCCCGGTGCTCCGAGGATGAGGGGGTGGATCTGAGACAGGGCACTGGGGCAGAGCCCTGAGGATTGCCTTGCTGCTTCTAGGAAGAAACAGGGGGTGGTTTTGGCTGTGGAAAGCCATACCAGCCCGTCCTCCCTCCGCAGCATCAGCAGAAGCCAGAGCTGCTCTGCAGAGCCCCCGCACATGCGAGCGGGCGGGAGGGCCGTGCGCGCTGCCTGCGCTGCGCCTCCGCCAGCGCTCGGGCACCCCGGGCTGCCGGCGGCCGCCCCCTACCCCACCACCCGCTACCCCTCCGGAGGAGCGCCCCGCCGCCCTCCCGCCCCGGCCGCCCGCAGGGGCTCCAGCCGCGCCGCGGGAGCGGCTCCCGGCGCGGGGGAAGCGGGTCCCGGCGCGGGCGGTGCCGCCGCACTCACCATGGCGTTGGAGCAGTTCAGCAGGCACACGGCGGCCAGCAGGAACCACCGCCGCCGGTACGTCTTGAACTCGGCCACCCGCCCCAGGCTGCGCTCCCCCAGCAGGCTCGCCGCCTCGCCTCCCTCCATCGCGGCTCGGCTCAGCTCGGCTCGGCACTGCCGCGTCCAGCCCCGCCCCGCCGCCCTCGCCTGCCTCCCTGGGGCGGCCCTGGCCGCGCCACCGCCCAGCCCGGCACAGCCCAGCATGGCACAGCCCAGCCCGGCACAGCCCAGCATGGCACAGCCCAGCTCTGCACAGCACAGCCCAGCACGGCAC